GAATGCTGTCCAGACATATCTAATGTTTTCAATATTATCTGCTTCATCTGTGTTATCATTTTGTTAACTTATTTATACTATTTTTATACCATTTGAAGATAAAGTGGCACAATTGACTAATTATACTAGGTTTGCATACATGTATTTCTGGTAAGACAATTGACAGAGTTCATCTCTATAAAACGGTAATTACTAGATGTAAGTATGAAACGCATGGTTATATGTGGTTAGTATAAGGATGTTATATCTTATTCTATAGTAATATATATATATATACTAAGTAATCGCATTCATCTAAGTTGTGCTGGCCCTTAATATATTGGTTAAAGTACCAGAGATTACAAAGGAAATACATTATTACTTACTTATTTTTTTCTTCCCATATAGACCAGAAATAGGCGGGATGTATAATAACGCTATCATATTTGTAAAAGTCAGGGTGTTTTTTTTACAAATTAAATTTACTTTTTAGAGACGTCCGGACTTTCGATATCATTCATATATTACTTAAGTATCGGAGCTGTCAGATATACGTATAATGCATTTGTAGTGGTTGATGCAACTTTTTAGTTTTTTAAGTTGAGATTTTTCTGATAAACGGGGAATAATCCATTTGAATCATGTTACATCGTATTTATCGTGACCTTGGCATCGTTACCAATGAACAACTAAGAGAGTTGTTAGCCAAGGGACCAAAATATAGAATTCCCCAGGCCATCAACTGGAAAAAGAATTTCATGATTGATGCAGTTGAGGACTATGCAAGAAAATGGGTACAGCGCGACCCAGACGAACCAGAACTGGACACTTTTGTCTGAATGGATCAAAGCTTTTCGATCATGCATTCAGAAGCGCATTCAAAAACTACGATGCAATATGAGCACAAGAGTTACTAACCCTTTCAAAAATCAGGATGTTGTGGATGCTTTATTCTCTTTGCATGATGAATATGTCGTTCTTCCAGCAGATAAAGCCTCCAATAATATTGTCTTCATATGTAAAAACCATTATTTGCAATGTCTCACAACAGAGCTTGGAATAAATAGAACTACTGGTAACCCTACATATTCTTTAACATTATTTACCAAGGACGAAATTTATCAAAATCACAAATCTTTCCTTCTTTCTTTTGGTATCAACATCAAAGAAAACGAAGAAAATTTACCATCATTATACTGGATACCAAAACTACACAAAACTCCATATAAAGAACGATACAAAGCTGGGTCTTCAAAATGTTCGACTAAACATCTTTCTAAAATACTGACTACTATTCTTTCTACAGTTAAAGATGGGCTTCAAAAATATTGTGATGAGATATATTCTACCAGTGGTGTTAACCAGATGTGGATTCTCAAAAATTCGAAAGATCTACTGCTTAATCTTCGATCACAACTTTGCAATTTTGCAGCAACATAAAGACTTTTGATTTTTCTACGCTTTACACTACTATTCCCCATGCTCAGTTGAAAGATCGACTTCACCATCTCATTAAACAGAGCTTTTTCTATAAAAATGGGAATCGTAGATACAAATTTCTTGTTTTGGGTTACAATAGTTCATATTTTGTGAAAAACCACACTGAATCTACCAGAAAATATACTATAGATGATATTATCAAAATGCTGGACTTTTTGATCGACAATATATTTGTTGAGTTTGGAGGATTTATATTTCAACAGACAGTCGGTATTCCAATGGGAACTAATGTGCACCTCTACTGGCCGATTTGGTTTTGTACTCGTATGAAGCAGAATTCATTCAGAACCTTCTAAAAGACAAAAAGAAAAAGCACCTTGCGAAATTCTTTAATTTTACTTTCCGATATATTGATGTTGTTCTATCATTGAATAACCCATATTTCAGTCAATACTTACATCTCATATATCCCAGTGAACTTGAAATTAAGGATACTACTGATACTAGATGGACTGCTTCATACCTTGATCTTTTCCTCAATATTGACACAGATGGACGACTTCACACGAAAATCTATGATAAACGGGACGATTTCAACTTCCCAATTATCAATTTCCCATTTTTCAGCAGTAACACACCCTCTGCCCCTTCGTATGGTGTTTACATATCTCAATTGATACGTTATTCTCGTGCTTGTTTACACTATACGGACTTCATATACAGGAGTGTGCTCCTTACGTAGAAACTGCTCCAACAAAGTTATGAGGAGGACAGATTAAAAATGACATTTCCGTAAATTTTACGGACACCATCACGAATTGGTTGATCCATACGATGTGCCTTTGTCCAAACTAACTAAGGACATTTTTACCACGTGTTAGATTGTGAATTGTCATTACGTCGTCTGATCTTTTAATTACCGAACGTGACTTATTCCCGATTGTGACTGTTTTGCTGAGTGTGAAACCGCATTGCTATAAGACGTGTCACGGTACTTTTCTGTCCCAAATTCATGTATTTAATTTTGATGTTATATTTGTTATTCTCGTCGGATTTTGTCAAATGTCTTAACGTCTTTTCTGTTATATTCGTGTGTTATGGTAAAGATAATTAATCACCCCCTTCATTTATTAGATTTTAGTTTGGTTCAACGAAATTTATACGATATATTTGGTTTACAGTTTGATTCAGAAGAAACACCGACATAGCTAGATAATACTATTAATTATCTAATTACTACCACAATTTGATATTAATAAGTATTGTAATTTTCATTGTTATTAATAAATTTAATGTCAGTATTACAAATCTAATCTTGAATCAATCCTAATCCTATCTTATTTTTGGGAAATATTTTTACAAATTCAAATGTGACGTCACTTTGTGCGTTGAGGCTTTGGCTAACTCGGCTGTGTATTTTTATGTGTTGGATTAAGTTGTTTTATGTAATGTATCCGTTTTTATTCTGTAGTTAGTCCCCACTTCAGTTTTATCATGTATATCTATTATATAGTCATTTTATAAAATTTACTGTTTGCAAAATTATAAATTATTCTAAATAATAAGGATGTTCTTGTCCCAGGCAGAAAACCCTGGCCGTGTTAGGCGCAACTTTTAGGAAGTTTTGGTCCTCGGTGCTTTTCAGCTTTGTACTTGTTTTGGCTTTCAAACTTTTTTCATCTGAGCGTCACTGGTTGGTCTTGTGGGGACGAGACGCACGTCTGGCGTATTGAATTTTAAGCCTAGTACCTTTTGTTAGCTATTATTCGTGTGTTTCTTTGTCCTATATGTTCTCCCATTTATTTTTATTGTGGTCCTGTCATGTGATGTTGTCGTTTTGGTGTTGTGTTTGACGTTGCCATAAAAGCGGGAGGTTTGGCATGCCACAAAACCAGGTTCAATCCACCATTTTTTTCTTAAAATGTCCTGTACCAAGTCTGGAAAATGGCCATTGTTATATTATAGTTCGTTTCTATGTGTGTTACATTTTAATGTTGTGTTTTTGTTGTGTCGTTGTTCTCCTCTTATATTTGATGCGTTTCCCTCAGTTTTAGTTTGTAACCCGGATTTGTTTTTATCTCTATCGATTTATGAGTTTCGAACAGCGGAATACTACTGTTGCCTTTATTTACGTAAGAAATTATATCTATGCCTGAAACGAACAAAAGGTATAACTTATGGACATCTTTTCTAGGTAGAATATCATGATTTATAAACGTCAGGAACCTCTTTAAACATCTATCCAAGGTATTTATGGGTTATATGTGTCAAGGCAAAATAAACCCCTCTCTTTCTAGCGCTAGTAAGATTTGTCAATCACAAATCATTGCGGTTGTTCTATAAATTTATTGTACAATATATTCGCTTGGATATGCATGAAACAAATTTCCTAGAAAAACGAATGCCGTTACCACGTGAACAAAAAGATATAAAAAGTCAAAGAAGAAAAGTCAATACCATGACAAAAAATGCCACACAATGTTCATTGTCCTTGTTTGTATGTCCGTTCTTATGTGGTTTTAGTAGAAGGGTGTTCTGCTTGATGTGAGCTGTTGTACAGTGCTTTTTTTGCTATGTCTGTACTCCTTTTTAAGTATCCCACAAAGCACTACACACAAAAAATTATTTGAATCCAATAGATAATCGGGGGTAAACTTATGTGCTCACTTCATGCTCACACAATATCAACTGTAATGATGCTCACTTGATTCAGGAGCTTTTTTGTAAGTAGCAACACCCAATCAAGTGATTTATGATAGAAAACACGCGCTCTGCTATTTCATATTACATTGGAGAATAATCTTTTCAGTATTAAAGGAATGTAGCTACATACAAATTAAAAGATAGATATATGTTGTTCCTTATCTCTTTCCTAAACAAAGTTAGGCGCTCGAAATAATCCGAGACAAGTTGTAATACAAAGTTGTTACGAGTCATTTATGGATTCTTGCTAGCAGTTTATGGATGGTTAGATGTTGTTGAGAACGGTTTACGAGCTGTTTTTGATACTTACGGATTGCGACTGTCATACAAGTGAGAGGTTTAGCTAGCTATAAAACCAGGTTTAATCCACCATTTTCTACCTGAGGAAATGCCTGTACCAAGTCAGGAATATGACAGTTGTTTTCTATTCGTTTGATGTGTTTGAGCTTTTGATTTTGCCATTTGATAAGGTCCTTGTGATTTGAATTTTCTTTGGAGTTCTGTATTTTTGTTAAAGTCAATCCGTGGACAATCGTAGGAAGGTTTTTGATATGTAAAAAATCCGCCTATATCTACATTAATCCTTAAGAGTGTTTGCGATTGTTGCGAGTTGTGAAGAGATATTTACGAACACAAACGAGTTATTCACGAATGCTTGCGTTGACTACGAGTTGGCGATCCGTAAATAAGGACTCGTAAGAAAATCCGTGTATGTGAAGGATGTTATATGTAAAAAAGTCACATGCTTCTTAATTTTAGTGTAATTTTTTATGCATGTAATTTTGTGCTAACTTGGCTCATCTCACATGGGCAAAAATAGTCATACTAAAAATCTGAACGATAAAATATAAAGATAATGATTTCAGTGCGAAATTAATTCAAATAAATTTATTTTGATGTCGAAAATACATTCTAGCAGGATATCCATACGCATCGTAGCCCACACTTCCATAAACCCATAGACCAAATACCATGCCAGATCTATGTTTAAGGGTATGTTCACCACTAGAAATGGGTTTTGTGAAGGAACTATAATTAGTCCTGTCAGAAACCAATGTGTATACTTTATCTGCAGAAAATACAATTAGCCCATCTAGCAAGAAGTCATTAAATTCGCTTCTTCGAGTAGTTATGCTAATAAAACTTTGAAAACCTTTAGGAACAACGAAGTGGTAATATGGTAGGTATTGGTTGATTCCAGGTATTGTCATCATGAATGCATCCCCTTTCTCATTACTAAATGTTTGTGGATAAATCATCACAGAGATATCACTAGAAGCTGTAACAAGTGATACTTCATTGTGTGGGAAGTCATAAAAATGTCTTCCTTTGATCTGTCTTGTTACGTTGCTGCTATATCTAGTTTGAATCGTAACCAAGGTATCGGTGACACTCAACAATCTAACAACACTGTCAGGTCGAACATTTATATGTGGAATGATAAAAGCATTATCCAGTTGGTTAATAGGCAAAACCATTTCTATTAGAGGATTGCATTGTATGTTGTAACTTGTATTGCCACATTTAGAACCACTAACAACAGCTATGGGATCGCTACTTGTGACCATTGTTCCAGTTAAATCAGAAGTTGCATTTAGCGAAATTTGAAATGTTTCATATTTGTTGATCACAACCGTTATATTATCACCGTTAAAAAATTGTTTATTATTGTACTTTACAAAACCAAGAGAGATTTTCAGGTTCACCGTTACTGATGTTGATGATTTTGTTGGTGACATAGTTATCACATTTCGTGAATTTAAGACTTGAAACGAAGAAATAATGTAAGTGTTACCAAGATAACGAGTTGGTATTGCTAAATATCCTTCACTATAATGATGTGGGTAGTAAGGATGATTTAGAATAAATCCATAAACAGAGGTAATGTACCGGCCATATAGTTGTAGACCAGCTTGCTTTAGTCCATCTGTCATAAACACGTCTTGGTTAAGGAGATATTCGGGCTGGTTTCGTACAAAACTAAATGATTGGATGGTATGATTACAGAAATTAAAAGCTGAAAATACGTCGGAGTCGCTTGCTGTTAGAAATACTTTAGGTTGGGCGTGTTCATAGTATTTACCGTCCGGAAATAGCAAGATAAAATCAGTAAGTTGTGAATCTACAATGACAAGGTTATAATACGTGAAAAAAACATATTCATAATGTACATGCATCTGTTGGTAGATAATAGCTATTTACTAGAATGTTATGCATCCTACGCTCTAAAAAGTATTGTTATGAATTGGTATTTACCAACCCTAACAATGAATATGAACAGTAATGTATGTCTGTTGTACAAATCACCAAATATTACTTTGTTCTGATGAATTTGAAATAAAAACGTTGCTTTTTTATATTTTTCAATGGCAAATTTGCTGTAAAAGTATACTCACTATTCTTATAAATAGTTGTATCATTTTGGTCTTTAATATGTGAAGGTATTTTAAGAATGTCTGCAAGGAAATTTGTATCATAAATATATCCTATGATATAATTCTCAAACCTCTTACGTATTGTTTGAAATCCTTATGCTACAATTATTTGTCAGTTGCCTGCAAAATGTAATTCTATCTCATAAACAGTACATAAATAATGTTTTGGGAAAATATAAGTTGTCTTTAATACCTTTATTTATTACAGGCGTTGTAGAGTAGACTTTTGTCGAGTATGTCGTTGCTTCAATATTATTGACAGAAGCTGTATTGTCTGGTTTCACTGGTTTAAATGTTAGCGATTCACTTTTGAATTTTGCGTTACACAAACTAGAATTGCAGCATCTGACTCTCTTCACTGATCTATAATTCCTTCTGCCAAGAATAGGATATGGGTACTGCTCACTTACACACTGTTTTAAATTATAAATTCAAAATTATCATATTTTATGTAATTTTATATAATTTCAACATTCATGCCTATCAGATAACCATCAATTTATTTTCTCCTTTTTTATGTATCCGATGAAAAGTTAAAATTGTTTTTTACGAGATTGCTGTCAAATGCACGTCGGTCCTAACCTTTCTTCTGCAATAAAAAAATAGTTTTTATTTATATTATTTAAGGATTTATAACAATTTCTCTTTAAGGGGCGGTATAAGATTTTTCGAAGTCTTGTAACTAGCAATGGAATATACATACTCACTCCGTACTAATTGTATGACAACAAATCCTCAAATTCTTTTTTTATAATTCAGTAATGAACTTAGTAAAACATTTTAAACATTATACTCCTAATAACAACCATAATTAGGTATAACTGTTTATCGTATCATACATAAGCTAAAAGAACTCGCTAAGGAATTTGTTTTTGTCCCGGCTGATAATTATAAAAAAGAAGATGTGGTATGAGTGCCAATGAGACATTTATCCATCTAAGTCAAAATGTGTTAAAAGTAAACAATAATAGGTCAAAGTACGGCCTTCAACACGGAGCCTTGGCTCACACCGAACAGCAAGCTATAAAGGGCCCCAAAAAGACTAGTTTAAAACAATTCAAACAGAAAAACCAACGGTCTAATCTATCTATAAAATGAGAAACGAGAAACACTTATGAACTACACCAACAAACGACAACCACTGGACAACAGGATCCTGACTTAGGACAGGTGCATAAAAATGCAGCGAGTTTAAACGTTTTAACAGGCGCCAACCTTCACCCTAATATTAAACAGTGGTATAACATTACAACATAAAAAGACACACAATAAAATATCAATTGAAATGGATCTTGATCTTGATCAAAAAGACAATACACAAAAACAAGTAAATATACACTGAAAGAATAAGTTTGATCTATGAAACAATATATATAAAAAAAGATGTTTCAATGTCAAAAACTCAACTTTAACCTAGGACAAAATGGCGTTAATCTGCCAATAATATCATTTATCATTGTTTGACGTAAATTTTATATTGAGGTTCTGCAAAAGGAAATCACAAATTCACCAACATTCCTACTGACTCAATTTTCGGAATTGACATCTGTAACAAACATAAACTTTTAGCTACCTCTTTACAAGCAGAACCGAATAACATTAAAGTTCCAACTATGTACTGGCTTACGTAGCTGCACAAAACACCTTACAAATATAGATTTATTTCGTTTTCAAGCCATTGTTCCACTACTAAACTGTCTATTCTACTTACTAATACACTTGGTACAATCAAAATCTTGGTAATATATTGTTCAAATTAGGCCTTTGAAAATAGTGGAATTAATTACTTTTGGAGTTTCATAAATTCGTTGGAAGAACATGATAAATTGCATCTCATATTGGTGATTTCGAATCTGTTAGAAAAAATGATTTTTCTATCCTATATACCACTTTTCATCATAATCTCATTAAGAAAAAAATCTTATACCTACTAAATGGGCATTTAAAAAGTCAGAATGCAAATATATATGTTCAAACTTTTTTAGGTCATTTTTTAGTAACAACAAACAAATGAACTATGTCAATTGGACCTAGTGTGATACGATAACTGCACTTGAATGTTTACAAGATAACATTTTTGTACGCTATGGAGATTCCGTATATCGTCAAGTTATCGGAATTCCAATGAGGACTAACTGTTCACCACTTATTGGGGACCTGTTTCTGTATTGTTACGAGTCACAATTTATGACTAAACTCAGTAAAGACCCATTAAAACAAATTTAATAACACTTTTAGATATTTGGAAGATATATTGGCTCTCAATAATGACGACTTCAGTATGTACACTAAAGAGATTTATCCTGCTGAACTGACTTTTAATAAAGCTAATACTAAAAATGAACACTGCCCTTTCCTGGATCTTGATATCTATATCTTTAACGGGAAGCTTAATACTCAAATTTACGATAAAAGAGGTGAATTTTCATTTCCTATTTATACATTTTTAGATGGCGACTTTTCCTCGTCACAATCTTATGGTGTTGATATATCTCAACTTGTTCGATTCGCTTGTGTATGTAACAACGTATTTGATTTAAACGATAAAAATCACTGTATTACTGAAAAATTATTACACCAGGGTTTTCGATATCACAGACTTGTCAAAACATTTACTTAATTTTATCATCGGTACAAGGAGATCATTCGTAAATATAAATCAACGTGCAGACATCTTATACGTTCAGGTATTTCCCATCCCATCTTGTATTTTAATATTCTATACAAAGTACAAAAATGTCGTCATTCACCTCAAAAGCTAACCAAACCTTTAAACAGGCTTATTCAGAAGGGATATAGTTACGAAACTGTTGTAAGGTCATTAGAGATGGCATTTTTTGGAATTAATATTAATTCACTCATAGGGTCTTTCCATCGGATATAAACACATTTATTCTAAAACCAGTTGTTGGCCTGGTACGGATTATGTTCTTTTCGTATATTTATGATGGTATGGTACTTAACACCTAACGGGAGGGATTGTGCTTGATTTTCATATCATGAAGACATAATCTTTCAATCAGTTTAACTGAGGTTTGGAGCTGGCATGTCGGTAACTGCTAATAGTCCTTTGTTAATTTATGTTAATCATTGTCATTTTGCTTAGTTTCTTCTGTTACCTATTCTAACATCAGACTCGGACTTCCTTTAATGTGTGTTTGTTTATTCAACATTGGCTAGAGGTATAGGGAAGGGTTGAGATCTCACAAAACATGGTTAACACCGCCGCATTTTGCGCCTGTCCCAAGTCAGGAGCCTCTGTTAGTCTTGTATGGGTTTTTTTTTTTGGTTCATTTATGTTTCGGAGTTTGGTGTGACGCCCATTTTTGCTGAACTAGTATATATTATTGTTTAGGGGCCAGCTGAACCCACCTCCGGTACGGGATTTTCTCGCTGTGTTGAAGAACCATTGGTAGCCTTGGGCTGTTTTCTGCTCTTTGGTAGGGTTGTTGTCTCTTTGACACATTCCCCGTTTCCATTTTCCATTTTATATATTATTTAGATATGACTTTATCCTTACATTGTTATCCTTACAACCACTGCGATACATTATTTCTCCGTACCATGATTCTTCTGATATGTAACACATCTATAAAAATTAAAGCATGAAAAACAAAATAAAGGAATATATTTAAATATTATACCCTTCTAAAATTCTGCGTTAATAGATTCGTTTTTGTTGTAATTATTAAGAAACTAAGGTTTCGAATCCATCTATAAAGTTGACCTTATTGGCAGATTTGACTAGTCTTTTAATGTTAACTTTGGTCATCATTGCTTTTCATGTATTCAGGGTTCTAGTGTTTCTGGTGAAGATAAATCCAGAAAAGCGCTTTGGACACGCCAAATGTATGAAGTGGTTTTTTTTTCGTTTAACAATTTTCCTATACTGTTATGTGGATAATGTCCATAAGGAGTGTAGTTGTGCTACTTTCGCGAGTGAGACAAAATCGCAAGGATATCCCTTTGGTGTATAACGAATATGAATAAAACAGAAATAAAGTCTAGCAAACAGGTTTGGCATAATAAAACGAAAAAAAATAAGAAAGAGCACTGTACGTATACTGAATACACAGCTAGATTTAAACTTATAAGATTTCCTGGATATCTGTGTATCAGACTCTGAAAATAGAGATACCTGAATAAAGGTAGATTGAGGTCTGCTTGAATGACAATGATTTTACCCGTCACGGTTCATCGTGCCCAATGAAACATGAAAGTACGAGGAGTAGGTAAATTAGAAAACATGCTTAACGAAATATTTGTGATCATATGCTCTTATTTAGGATTCAATTACCTGCTCT